ACTCAGTCATACTATATCCAACTCATCATATTAAAAAAAAAAAGCTATACTTTAGGAAAAATTCCTGTACTTCTAGTTTTAGCACAGTGACAGCATCCACTAGCACATGAGCTAATCATTGGTTCATGGATCTAATAAACCACTTTTAGGAATAGAAAATGAAGGGAGGCATTCTTAACTCTTTTTATACTACTTAACTCTTAAGACCAGTAATTTCTAATCAAATTAAAAAGAAAAAATATGCATATACTATATATTTTCCTGTAGCTTGTCTATTGTTATCAAATTATGCACACATTATTATGGGAAAATACATACTCAGAGAGAATCTTATCAGGAGGATGTCTCCAAGGAATGACACACAAACAGTTCTGTAAGATGAGCAGGCTTTTACCTGGCCAAGGGAAATAAAAATTTTGGGGTGAGAGAAGGTGTTGGATCCTACCAATATTCAAAGTCCCAAAGAGAATCAAACATGGAACAGTTCAGGAAATAGTAGCTCACTGGATGTGGTGGTGAGAGTGGGAGTAGAAGAGTAATGCCAAGAGATGAAGCTGTTAAAAATAAGCAAGAGATTACAAAGCTTAATGCGCTGTGCTAAGAAATGTTGACTTTCTTGTGAATACATGGAAGGCTTATTAACTTTTTGGGGAATTAGATTTATAATAGGATATAGGAAGTAATGAAACTGATAAAAAGATAAGCGCCTGCAGTAATGTACAAACAACAGAGATGGATAAAATGGACAAATTTGAGATACTTTGAAGAGGTAGTCTCATTGGGGACCACTGTTCAACATAAGCAATATATATGGTGGAAAGTAGGAGTTAGCTAGACCTGGGTTCAAATCTTAAGTCTATCATATCTGTTTTGTGACCTTGGGTGTTTTTCATGCCCCTAAGATGCTCCGTTTCTCCTCTTAAAATGGGACAACCCTTGGAGGTGTGTATGAAATAAGAGAAGTCAATGAAATAATATATGTGATACATCAATAAGTACCTTACCACATAGTAGGTGTAAAATGATAAGTAGTATTATTGTGGGGGATGAAAGAGAAGAGAGTTAAGCAGAACTTTCCATTTTCCTATTTGGACAGTAAGAAAGAGCTAGATTAAGAAAGTGGGTAATCTGTCTGGTTCATTGACAGGTTTCCTATGAGGAATATGGATGTAAATATTCCTGGGCAGATGACAAGAATTTGACTGTCCTGTGAGATGTTTGAGCAGAAGGAATAGATTCAGGAGATATAAACTTATACATGACAGTAAACATGAAAATAAGATGAGACCACCCACAAAGATAGTTTAAATGAAAAGTCAGAACCCTGGAGAGTAGCATAGGAATTTTAGAGTAAAGCCTGGCAAGAACATTGAAGTGGGGCTGGTCTGGAGGAGGAGGTACACCAGTATGAGTAGAATCAGTAAAGCACAAAAAGAGAATTTCATGATGAGAATGAAATTAGCAGCTCCAGTTGCTCCAGGGAGGTAGAGTAAGATCAAATTGAAAGAATATCTTTGAGTTTAGCAACAAAGAAATTATTAGAAATTTCTGTCATGATTTTTAGCAGAATGATGACATGGACACTCATTTCAGTAGTTTAAGGAGAGACTGAGAGATGAGGAGTAAAGAAAGCCACTGTAAATAAATCTCTTAATGTTATATAAATTTAGATAGAAATACTGGTTAAAAAGAAAAAAAGAGCTAACTGACAGTAAAGGAGTTTTCTGAGAAGATAGAAAGTTGGCCTAGAAGTTGAGTTTTAAAAATGGAGTGGTCAGTAATGTCAAATGCAGCAGAACAGTCCTGTAATGCTTATTTAAAGTGCACATTGGAAGTCTGTGAGCCAGGAAGTAAGCCTGTAGTGGAGTGCTTTGAATTCCAGACTTAAGTCATTGGGGGACCATTGATAGTTATTGAACATGGAACTGCTATGATCAGAATAGCAGTTTTTGAGTTTTCTGGCAGCAGTTTTTTTCTGGGAGGGTCCATTTAGGCTGGCAGAGGCACAAAATAACAAGGGATAGAATCAGCATAATGATCCTGGTAGCAAAAAGATAGGATAAATGCAAGAGCTATTATGCAGTAGAACCTTTTAAGTAAACAGTCCCTAGATGTAATTGGCTAAAGAAAGTACCCTAAAAGATGATATTTTAAGGTTCTGGGCATGGGTGATAAAGAGAATAATAGTAGTACTTACCAAAATGGGCATTTAGAAGCAAGAGTATAAGAAAACTTCATTTTTTATTTTTAAACTTCTGTTTATCAAGTATCTTTCTGAGTAGCTGCTATTTGTTAGACACTATTCCAGATTATAGAGATGCCGTAATATGCAAGATCCCTGCTTCTGTGTTTCTTCACATTCAGAAGTGGGATGAAGACATTTAAAAAACTAGTAAAAGGACATAGTAATTTCAGACAAATATGACAAAGCTAGGTGATGGTTCAGAGATTGACTGAAGGGGGCCACTTTTAAATGATGTGATCCAGAGTGGCATTGCTAAAGAGGAGAGATTTGAATGGAGACCAAAAGCCTTGAAAAATAAATGTTCCTAACATGGAGACTTGAGGAGTTTGTTAAGGAGAAATGGTCAAGGGATCTGCAGAATCAAGGATCCTTAAACAGTTCTTTAAAATAACAAAGGTCATCTTAAATATCATTGAACCTGAAGGGGACTGCCAACTGTGTGTGAACGACAGCTGGAAAAATTATGAGCAAAAATAATCTCATAACTATAGGGGATGTTAGGAATGCTTGCCTACTTAAAAATACTAGTATCTCCCTAGGGATCATGATTTAAACACTTTGTATAGTGCTGCTCCTTCAGGCAGAACTCTCCATTTCCAACACTGCTTTTTTTACTTTTTTCAGTAAGCAGAGAGTATGTGTGTCACTCTACTTCTAGGTACACAACTAGTGTGAATAGTCAAGGATCTTTTATGGACTATTTCAGATTTACATGTGCTTAAAGATACATTGAAGCATAATAATTATACTTTACATTTTTATATTGCTTTATAGTTTATAGAGCTATTACATATGGAAAATCAACTTGATCTTCAGAAATAACTCTTTAAGTTGAGTAGGGGATGGGAATTTTAGGGAGGTCAGTATTATTATTTCCAAGATGAGGAAACAGACTCTGTAAGAGCATAATCATCAGTTCACAACTTCTGACTTCACTTACATTGCTTTACTTATCACATCATGCCAACTCAAAGATGAACAGAATTGTAAACTTCAGTAGAGGAGGTGAAATATATATCTTTATTAAAGCAATGACAAGATACATGTCTTTACATTCAGTCCACTGTATCTTCAGGTTACACATCCTAGGATTTTAACCTACCACAGATAAAAATATTTGGGAAAAAATATATCTGTGCTAAACACATACAAACTTTTCTCCTTGTCATTATTTTCTAAACAATGCAGTATAACAATTCACATGGGATTTATAGTACGTTAGCTATTATAAGTAATGTAGAGATGATTTAAAGTAACAAGGGTACAGTGTGCAGTTTATATGCAAATACTGTGCCATTCTGTGTAAGGATCTGGAGCACCGCATACTTTGGTATCTGTGGGAGGGAAGTTTCTAAACCAATTGTCTGTCAATACTGAAGGATGGCTGTATTTGTATCTTAGTGGTGAGTGCTCCCAAACTGTACAGACTGCTGTGAATTAACAGTAGAAGTTGAGATTACTTTGGCTAGGAAAGTCAAAGGTTTAATTTTGTTTAAAAAATGCATGCTATTTTCTCACTTGGTAATTTTTACTGTTGCTTTTTGGTTGCTTCATATGTTTAAAGTACTATAAGTGCAGTTTTAAAATAAGCCCTTTTATTTTATACCCTGAACCCACGTTTGTTTCTGCTAGCATATTTTATCCTTGTAGTGCCACCCAGAGTAGAGGAGACTAATGGTGACAATAGCTAGCATGTAATGAACAATTCTGTGCCATGGGATTTGTAAGTATTAATTTATTTAATCCTTACATCAGATCTCTGAGATGGGAGCACTCCTTAATAAGTTGATGTTTTTCTTTTCAGTCCATTCACGTTCTTGTTGTTCACATACCTAGTGGGGAGAGTCGTGTAAAAAAGGGTGACTATAAGGTGTACCCACTTGTACTTCAGAACAAGATTAAGCTATGCAAATAGTTATTCTTTGTCATATTGTACATCATTTTTAATATTTTTCCCTAAGTGAAGAAGCCAAGCTAGTGGATGTACTAACCTGAGAGAAGAAGTCTGAGCTATAAAACTCGGGTTATAATTTCCTAAATGTCTTTTTTTTTATTTTAGTGACAATCTAAAATAGTCATTGGTGGGTTTGTATTTAAAACACCATTTAGGCCAGCATGGTACTACATACCTATAAACCTAGCATTCAGGAGGTTGAGAGGGAGGATTGAGAGTTCAGGAATAGCCTTGGCCTACATAGTAACATCCTGTTTCAAAAAAATAAAATAAAAATCAAAGGACACTTAATTGTATGTATATATTAAAAAAACACTCAACAGATGTTTGCTTAATTTAAACTATTTAGAAATGAGAAATGTTCATAAAATTTAATCCTCTGTATAGTTTTTATCTCTGTATTTTCCTGGCATAAATGAGACATGTTTACTGGGGAAATGGCAATAATGCTTTGTATTTATATAGCATTTCTAATCTGAAGAGCTCACTGTTTTTCAAAGGTCTCATGAATCCTCACAGCAATTCAGTGAGGTAGGTAGCTGGCAAGTAGTATTATCTTCGTTTTGCAGATGGAGAGAAATTAAGTCACAAAGAAGATTAATTGATTTATATATACTCTTATCAACTAGAGAAAGAGACAATCTAATCTACTAGAGTAAGAATATTTTAGGAGGTTTGGCATAGTATAAGTCATTAACCCCTTTGTGTACATTACACAGATTATTAAAATATATGATTCACTTTACACTTTCCTTAGGAATCAAAAACATTTTAATCCTTTTTTTTTCCCTTCCTTGTTAGGTCAGCAGCAAGGACAAGATGGAGTGAAAGTCCAGCAAGCTACTATAGCTCCTGTAACGGTGGCAGTTGGAGGAATTGCTAATGCGACAATAGGTGCTGTTAGTCCTGACCAACTCACACAAGTGCATTTGCAGCAAGGCCAGCAGACTTCTGATCAAGAGGTGCAGCCTGGCAAGAGGCTTCGAAGAGTTGCCTGTTCTTGTCCTAATTGTAGGGAAGGAGAAGGAAGGTAAATGCTCTATTTTCAACCCCAGCTCTCTTGAAGGCATTAAAAAAAAGTCAGTTTCTATGTAGATTGATCACTGGAACCTTTCTACCTCTGTAGTCCCAAAGTTGAAATATGATGTTAGGAACTTAGGCTATTCTAGGCATGGAATTTGAGTGGTCCTCTGCCTTGTACCTTATACTTTAAAAAAAAAAATGAATTTCTTATTTTACTTATTAGGTTAAAAAAAAAAAAAAACTTATATACCATAACATTAATGATACAAAACTAACTCACTTAAAGTATACAATTCAGTGATTTTTAAAATACTCACAGAGTTACACATCCATTACCACAATTTTTGGTCATTTTTATCCTCAGAAGAAATCCTGTGTCCTTTAGCCATCACCTCCCCCAATGCAGGTCTAGGCAACTGCTAACTTTTTGTTCCTGTCTTCATAGATTTGCCTATTCCATACATCTTGTATAAATGGAATCATATAATCTGTGGTCCTTTGTGACTGACTTCTTTCATTTAGCATTATGTTTTCAAAGTTCAGCCATTTGATAATATGATTAATACTTCATTCCTTTTTATGAACGACTAAATTCCTTTGGATATATAGTATTTTGTTTATCATTTCGCTTGATGGATATTGGGGGTTTTCCTTGTTGGCCACTATGAATAATGCTGCTGTAAACATTTGTGTAGAAGTGATTGTGTGAACATAAACACTTTTGATTTCTCTTTATATGTACCTAGGAATGGAATTGCTGGGTCATTTGGTAGCTGTATGTGTAACCATTTGAGGAACTGCCAAACACTATTTTCCAAAGTGGCTGTGCCATTTTACATTCCTACCAGCAGTGGAATGAGGGTTCTAGTTTCTCCATATCATTGCCAGTCCTTGTCATTATCTTTTTAATTACAGCAATAATAACGAGTCTGAGGTGGAGTCTCAGTATGGTTTTCATTGGAATTTTCATGATTCATGATGTTGAACATCTTTTCATGTGTGTCTTAATCATTTATATATCTTTGGAGACATACTTAGATTCTTTTCCCATTTTTTTTGGTTGGGGGGAACAGTACTGGGGATTGAACTTGGGTCCTTGTGCTTTCTATACAGGCACTCCATAAATTGAGCCTCACTCCCAACCCTTTTTGCTTTGGTTATTTTTGAAATGGGGTCTCTCGTTTTTGCCTAGGCTGACCTGGACAGTAGTCCTCCTACTTACACTTCCTATATAGCTGGGATGACAGGCGCCTGTCACCATGTCCAGCTTTTTTTTGTTAAGATGGGGGCCTCACTTTTTGCCTGAGTTGGCCTTGAACTGTGATCCTCCTGATCGCCACCTCCAGGTGTGAGTCACTATATCTGACTGCTTTTCCCATTTTTAATTGCATTACTTTTAAGTTACTGAATGTAATGGTTCTTCTTATATTCTAGGTTCAAGTCCCTTACCAGATACATGATTTGCAAATACTGTCTCTTATTATGTGATTTGTCTTTATACTCTCTTGGTAGCATTGCTTTAAGCACAAAAGTTCTTGAAATTCAGTATTTTTCTATTTTTCTTTCTTTAGTTACTTGTCCTTTTGGTGTCACATGGAAGAATTCATTGCCAAATCTAGGGTCATGAATATTTCTGGTTTTCTTTTGAGAGTTTTGGTTTTTATTCTTACACTTAGAACTCTGATCAATTTTCAGTTAACTTTTATGTATTATGTCAGATAATTGTACATCCAACTTTATTTATTGAAAAGACTGTCTTTTTCCCATTGAATGGTCTTGGTATCCTATCAAAAATCAGTTGACCATACACACATGGAGTGTGAACTCTCAATCTTATTATCTGTATATCTGTCTTTATGCCAGTATCACGCTGTCTTGATAACTTCAGAAATTGAGAAACTGAGTTTCCAATTTTGTCACTCTTAAGTTGTTTTGGCTATTTAGCAACACTGTGATTCTATGTAAGTTTTAGCATCAATTTGCCAGTTTGTACAAAGATGTTAGATGGGATTCAGACCATTTGGGGAGCATTGCCAACTTAACAATATTAGATCTTTTGATCCATGCAAATGGAATGCTTTTCTACTTATTTAGATCTTTGCTAACATATTTCATCAGTGTTTTACAGTTTTTAGAGTATAAGTTTTGCATGTTTGCTAAACTTGTTCCTATTCTGTTCTTCGTGTTATTATAAATTAAACAATTTTCTTGATTGTTCATTGCAAGTATACAGAACATATATTGGTTCTTGTATATTGACCTTATATCCTGTAACTTTTGATTAATTTTTCATTAATTCTAGTAGTTTTCTTAGTGGCTTCTTTGTGATTTTTATATGTAGCATCTCAACATCTATAAATATAGTTTTATATTACTGCTTCTTTCCTACTCTGGAGGAGTTCTGGTTTTTCTTTTTTTTGTCTGCCTAACTGCCTTGTCTAGAACCTCCAATAAAGTGTCGAATAGAAGTGAAAAAAGTACACATCCTTCTTTTGTTTCTGATCTTATGGAAAAAGCATCAAGACGATTTTCACCTTTTAAATACAACATTAACTCTACGGCCCTTAATCAAGTTGAGCAATCTTCGTTCTGATCCTATTTTGTTGACTTTTTTTTAATCACAAAAGAGTTTGTGGCAAATGCTTTTCTGCATTTATTATGACCATGTGCTTTTTAAAAATTGTATGTTACATCAATTGATTGTCAGATGTCAAAGAAAGCATTTTTGCTGTTCTGGGAAAAATCCAACTCGATCATTTGAAAGTTCTTTTCATATGTAGCTGGATTCAGTTTGCTTTTTTTTTTCTTTCTTTTTTTGTGACAGGGTCTCGCTTTGTAGCCCAGGCTGACCTCGAACTCAAAATACTCCTGTATCATCCTCCTGAGTGGTAGGATTATAGGCATGCACCACCACACCCCACTTAGTTTGCTAGTATTTTGTTAATAATTTTTGGTATATATTCATAGGAGATACTGATTTGGGGTTGTATGTGTGACTAAAGTAGTGGAGCACCTGCCTAGCAAGTGCAAGGCCCTAAGTTCAAACTCCAGTACTACCAAAAAAAAAAAACTGATTTCTGTTTTTCTTTTTCTTGTAATGTCTTCATCTGGTATTAGTGATGATAATATCGTTCTCATAGAAAGAGGTGGGAAGTGTTTTTGCAGTTTTAACTTTTTAAAAAAGTTTATGAAGAACTAGTACTAAAGTACTAATTCTTTGAATTTTTTTAGAATTCACAAGTATAGCTATTGCTATTTGATCCTGTATTTTTCTTGTGTGTGTGTGGTTTCTTTTTTTGGCAGTACCGGGGTGTGGACTCAGGGCCTATACCTTGAAGCACTCCACCAGCCCTGTTTTTTGTGAAGGTGTTTTCGAGATAGGATCTTGCAGAACTATTTGCCTGGGCTGGCTTCGAACCACAATCCTGATCTCTGCTTCCTCAGTAACTAGGATTACAGGTGTGAGCCACCAGCACCAGGCTTGTGTGTAGTTTTGATTACTAATTTAATCTCTTTACTTATAAGTTTATTTTGGCTATTTTTTTCTTTAGCCAATTTTTAAATTTTGTGCCCTTCTACAAACTTGTCCATCTTGTGTAAGTTATTAGTATAGAATTCTTCAAATTTTTTAATAATACTTTTTATTTTTATGAATTGTAATGTCCCCCTTCTCATTTGTGATTCAGTTAATTTTAGCCTTTTCTTTTTTTCTTGTTAGTCTGGCTAAAGTTTACTAATTTAACCCTTTCTAAGAATCTGTTTTTGACATTTATTCTGATCCCAAGAGGGCTCATTCCTTTTGTTTCTTTCCTTGATATCTCTGGCAAACTAGACAACCTATAGTCAGCCCCTTTCTGGGATGAATCCATACCCCTTTGCCCAGATGCCTTTTGTAACAATAATGCATTTTTTTTTGAAAGAACCCTTAGGCTTGAAATTATTCAACCTGTTGCAGTTTTCTTGCAAATTTCAATTCCTTTGGGAAGAGATTTGGAGTTCTGATGGTGTGCTTCTGCTTCTCTTCTGGCCAGAATTTGTGAGTGGTGGCTCTCAGAGCTGGAGGTTAGACAATGGCACATTTCTGAGTGCCATTCCTGTTCTAGGAGCCAAATTCTTGGTGGCAGGGGCAGCATAGCCTCAGATCTCAGCTAGCCCCTCCTACCTTAGAAGCTCTAGTTTATGGCCAAGTGTGATGGTTCAAGCCATAATCCTAGCTACTCAGGAGGCTGAGATTGGGGAGCGGGGAGATTAAGGTTTGAGACCAGCCTGGACAGAAAGTTTGAAAGACCCTATCTCAACCAATCCAATGGCTGGGTACAGTGGCATTTCCCTGTCATACCAGCTACAAGGGGAAGCATAGATAGGAGGACCATGGTTCACTTTGGCATGGGCATAAACTAAGACCCTATCTCGAAAATAACCAGTAGCAAAAAGGGCTGATGGTGTGGTTCAAGTGGTACCATACCTACCTAGCAAGCATGAAAGCCATGAGTTCATTCATCAGTACCACCAAAAAAATTAAGGAAAAAAACTGAAAGAAGCTCTGTCTACTTTATGAACCATGACTGAAATAGGCCAGCAGCCATCTGGACCGTATCATTTTTATCATCATGCCACATCCCAGGTAGAGCTTATGTCCCTGGGTTTTGTGCTGGGTGGAAAAAGAGTCCTTTTAGCCACACACACCTGGAACTTGGCCTTAGCAACAGGTAGCTGGGGGTAGAATCTGAAAGGCCTTGTTCTGTCCCTCCGAGGGAGGTAGCCCTGTTTGACTGGAAGGAAGGAGGAAAGAGAATACTGTTCATGGCTATACCATTTAACAATGCCCCTGTGTCATGGAGGTGGGAGGAAGTAGGGATGGAGTGAGTCTTGGTTCATATCCACAGGTTCTCACTGTTCTTACTCAGTTATGTTAGATCTTTTTGAATAAATGTTTCCTTATTTGCTGTTATTTGTTCTAGGATCATGTCCTGAGACTTTAAATAGTACTCTATATCCGGTTTTGCTGGGAAGCAATCCCTGGAACGCTTGCTGTTCTGTTAGAAATAAAACTATCTCACACTTTTAACTGGAATTGCTCATGCCTTTTGGTATTTTAGAGAAGAACTTTCAAGTGTCTCAAAAAGCTTAAAGAGATTTTTTTTTTTTAGTTGTGGTATCACAGGCATGTATCCCAGTGCTTAGGAGGCTGAGGTAAGAGTAATTGTGAGTTCAAGAACAGCCTGGGCTAAATAGGGAAACCCTGCTTCACAAAAAAAAAAAATTTTTTTTAACTAAGAGAGCTTACTAGGGAAAGAACATGAAACACGAAGACTATAGTAGGCATAAACTCTGAGATTAGCACAGTTCCATGCCGGTTTTGTGTTTAGTACACAGATTTGTATTATTTTTTTCTTTAATTGAAAAATTTAAGACATTTAACTATACTTTTGGTACTGTGATTAAACTGACTTATTCAGAAAAGCATTATTTTATTTTTCCATAAATAGAAGCTTAACTTGGGGAGTGTAGTTAATGCTTGAGTTTTGTTTTTGTTAGGGGCAGTAATGAACCAGGAAAAAAGAAACAGCATATCTGTCATATTGAAGGATGTGGAAAAGTTTATGGCAAAACATCTCACCTACGAGCACATCTTCGCTGGCATACTGGAGAAAGACCTTTTATATGCAACTGGATGTTTTGTGGCAAAAGATTCACAAGAAGTGATGAGCTTCAAAGACATAGAAGAACCCATACAGGTTGGTTGCTTTATTTTAGGCCTTGTACTTTCACTTATTTTTTTCAGTGCTTAAATGAAAGTTTTAGTAGTATGTTAGCTATAACATTGGAAATATGCAAATTTATGTGAAAGAATTCACAGTAATTATGATTATTATCATTTTTTACTTTGGAGTTACTTTTATTTCTGATGATAATGCACCTATTTTGGAAGAGCAGCAGGTTTAACTTCTTTTCTTAAAGATTTTTGTTAGCATATTATTGTTGTACTAAGCATTGTTGTGACGTTTACAAAAGTGCTTAAAATATATCTTAGTTAGAGTCACTCCCTCCATCATTCTTCTTTATCCCCTCTCCCCACTAGACGATGATTAAAATTAAAAATTTTTCACATATATTTTATTCTACTTTTTGTAAACTTTATCAACATATGTCCTGAAATTTGTTCTTTTTGTTTATTTTTAAACCTTTCCATATGTTATTGCATGGGACTTCTAATGTTACCTCATGGTTGACATGATGTGATTAAAAATTAATCCCATAGCAATGTTTGTCTGTTCTAGAAAATAGTCTGCTGTTTATGTCCACATGAGAGGATGCAGTATTTCCATGTTTGGTTGGTAGTGAGACAAAGATTTTTATATACATATGCTTAAAACCAAATACTAATGATTTGGAGTAGTTTCTTTTTTAAAAATATGGTCTACATCATTATCATCTTCTACTAGCTTGGCAATTCAGAATCAACTGTACTTTTAAATTTCTGTTTGTACGTGCTAGATAACAAGTAGTCTACCTCTTGAACCATGCCCCCAGTCCTTTTGCCTTTAGTTTGTTTTTAGGGTCTCACACTAACATTGATTGGGTTGGTCTCTAACCACTATCCTATATCCGACTCTCAAGTAACTGAGATTACAGGTATGTGCCACCATGACCTGCCCAAGAAAAACATTTTTAATCATTGAACTACATATTTGCATTGCATATTTGCATTTTTGTTCTTCCTATGATATACATGTATATACACACATACACACACAGTGTATGTAAGTGCTATTTCTGATCTATCTATATTATCATTATCTGTTGACTTTCTGCATTGAGAGTTAAGAATTTACTTTACTTTGCACCATTTGAGGGCATTGATTGTTTTGTAATTGTCTGGAGATACATAGCTCAGGGGTAGAGTGCTTACCTAGCATTCCCAAGGCCCTGGATTCAATCCCCAGCACCACAAAAAGGGAAAAAGAATATTGTTTTGTAAAACCATATGCAGGCTAAACATTGTCTCTTGACTTACCACTCTGTAATATGGATATTACAATGCCTGTCCTTCATTTTCTGTCCTATTTACCTCTTAGCTTTTCTCATTTAAAAATTTACCATTTCCTTCTCTTGAAGTTAAAATGCACATATTCTCTTCTACATGCACTCACCTTTGTTTTTATAGCTTAGTTAGTTAAGTTGAAAATTAGTAAATAATTGCATTATGACCATATATCTACTGTTCTCACATTTCTTTCCTGGTATGTTTTTAAGTTTTTCTTGGAGCTTCTAATTTCCTTTTTTTCTCCTTGCATTGTCTAACTCCATCACCTCCATCAGCTATTTCATATTTTCAGAAGTCCTATCAACTTCATCTAAAACTCCTTATCCTGCAGCTTTCTGATTTGGCCTGGACTGACTGTTCAGTAGGAATGTTGCACAGCTATAATCTTGGGACTTGTCTTTTTTACAGTTTGGGTCTCATCTTGGTTCTCAGGTTCTCATGTTTTCCTTTTTTTTCTGAGTTTTCTCCTAATTGGTTGCTGGAAAACACTGTGAAATGCTTCCTAACAAAAAGATGAGAAAGTAAATTTGTCTGACAACTTTATTTTGGCTTTTCCACTTAATTCGATGATTTGACCAATACAGTGTTCTGTATTGCAGTGTAATTGTATCGCTCTGTTGTCTTCTTGCATATTGTTACCAATAAGAAGTCCATTGTTATCTTCATTTTTTCCCTTACAATTTTATTTTTGTTTTGAAATAGTTTTACTCTTTAATAGAAGAGTTGCAAGGATAGTATAGTATTTTCATATACCTTTCATCAAGCTTTCCTTGCTGCTAACTTGTTACAAAAACTAAGAAATTAACATTATTACAATACCATTCATTTTAACTGCAGACTTTATTATCAATATGCTTCTTTTGTTCTAGGATTAAGTCTAAACTAACATATTACATTTCTTTGTCATGAGTCCTTAGACTTAGTCTCCTGAAGTCTGTGGAATTTCCTGATTCTTTAACTTTTATTACCTTGATTTTTATTATCTTTTTTTTTTTACTTTGACAAGGACTAGGTTAGATATTTTATAGGATATCCCTCAATTGGGGTTTGTCTAATGTTTTCTCTCGATTAGATTGAGGTTATGAATTGTTTGGAAGAACTTCAAATGTTAGTGCCTTTCTCACTGTGTTATATGAGGTACCTGATGTGAATATAACTTACAACTTTTAAGAATTAATTAATATAGTGCGTGCCAAGTTTCTCCACTATAAAGTTACTATTTTTTCTTTCTATTCTTTATTTATTAGAAATAAGTTATTAAGTTCAGTCCACGCTCAAGAGTAAAAGAATTATTCTACTACACGGTGGCAGGATTATCCAGGAATGTATGAATATATGTTAAAGCATATATTCATGTGTAGCTCCGTAACTACAGTAATTAATAGATATTGGGGGGAGTTCTAAGCAATATGTTGAGAGTCTATATAAATATACTATTTTCTCCTTAAAAATACAAGGAATATAAATATACTATTTTCCTTAAAAGAAAATAGTAGAGCTTTACTGTTAACATTCTTTAGTGAATCTTGCCTACAGCAGTTACTGCTGTGTAGCAAAGCATTTCAACATTTCATTTTCTATTTTCATTCCTTATACAATTTTTAATTGTAATTTTCATGGAAGCAAAAGATTTGTACCTTCTTCCCAGATTGTTTCTTTATTCAGTCATTTATTTACACTAGTCCAAATTATGAGTATTTTATTTATAATCCACTATTGTCATCATTTATTTTTTGATTCAAATAGTTTCATTTTTGGCTATTGGAAATTTTTTCAGATTGTTTCCTGTGTCTTTATAACATGCTGCCATCCTTGTTTTTGTTTTTAAACAGTAAGCGTTTCTTTCAGTCTTTAGCATTCCACTAATTTCATAATGATGTAGCTAGGTATATGTTTTCATTTATTGTGCTAACTAGTTTGACTGTTAACTGGGTAACCTCTCTCTCTTTCACATATCCTTTCTCTTTTTTCCCCTGTATTCTTTCTGGACTCTTGGTAGACCTATGTTAGATCCATTTTTTAAGTGTCTTAGAGCTTTTGGTTACCTCGTTTGTCTCTTCACCTTTTATTTTTTGTAAGAATTTTTATCATCAAATATTTCTATTGAATTTTTTTTTCATTTCCAGAATGCTTTTTATAGTTTGTTTCTGTTTCATGCTATTACCATATGGATACAGGCACTTGCTTCATCTAGAAGGATAATATTTTGTCTGTATCTTGCTTTTTCTAATGTCGCAGGATTTCCAGAATTGCCCAGTAAACCCTTATTTTTTGTTCAAAATGGTGATGGTTGGTGAATATGTTTAAGTGAAAGATTTTGAACACTTTATTATGAGCTGATAGCTTTCATTGTAAATTGGTTGGGTAGAGTACTGTGTTACACGGGAGGATGCCTTATTACCAAAGTACAGTTATATACTATGGAATTCCATTTCATTAGATGTAAATCCTGAAATATTTCTCTCAAGTTTGTGGTAGCAGGGTTAATATTCCACATTTAGACTTTAATTTTTCTGTTTTATACTCCAAGTCTCCCTCTTATCATTTTGAGTCCCAGACTTTACAGGTTTCTGCAGAACACAAATGGCTTTGTTCTAGAACATATTCTTTTCTTTGAATAACCTCCATTCGAGTTCATAGAAATATGATGCAGTCATTATTTTATTGATAACTTCTTTCCCTGTTCTTTTTGTTGCTGTACATTTAACCCCTTATTTTGTCTTTACTATTATTTTAATGGGTGTCTCAATGGGGAGAAGTAAACAGGTGTGATTATGTTGCTGTCTTAAACTATAAAGATTTACATTTACCTTTCTTGCTAACTGGGAAATATTGCAGTGATGTAACCAAGTGAACATCATCTGTAATATGGATATACATATTTGATATGTTTGTCTATTAGTATAGTTTACTTTTATGAATATTCTATTGTAGATATGTTGCAAACTTACTAGATGATTTTATTTGCCATTTATACTCTACTTGAACAATAAGCAATCTAGAGGTGGTTTCTGATAACTAGTGTTATAAGGAGGACCTCTTACTCTTTTTTCACCTGCTAAGAAAAAGTCTTAAAGAGTGCCTAAAAAGTTCTGTTCAACTAAATATGAGTTTTCATAAGTATGATGACTAAAGTTTTATCCAAAGTCTAATTTCACATAAATTACATGTATTTGCAATTATATCAGTAATTACAAATTTAAACAGGATGAAAGATTAGGAATGAAACTCCATTGTTTTTCACAAAATAAGGAAAATGAGGTCAAAATAAGTGAGACCTGAAACACTATCGAATGCATTGAAGTTTTTCCCCAGAATTTTTTATGTAGTTGCTTCAGATAGTATGTGAAATAGTCAAAACTGTTGCCTTTCATTTCACTGTTAGCCAAAATGGATCAAGCTATCTGCAGTCTGTCAGTCACATTGATTACACTAAAAACTCACCATAAAGTTTGTTTTCTTGAGCATTTAAATCATAATACTGAAAAAGCAAACAATAGCAGGCAATTGAGGAGTGAAATCAAACATGAATAAGTGTACAATATGAATTAGTTTCAGATTTTTCTTTCTTCTTTGTCTCCCAGGTTTGATCCTGTAGGTGCAGGCAATGAACACGATAGGAGAAACTCCCTGTGTCTAGCCAGAGAAGCAAGTAAAGGGGCCCCTGTGCTCCAAAGTCAGTCCCATTTG